CGGGGTTTCACCATGTTGGCCAGGATGGTCTCGATCTCTTGACCTCGTGATCCACCCTCCTCGGCCTCCCAAAGTGCTGGGATTACAGGCTTGAGCCACCGCGCCCGGCCAGAATTTTTGTAGATTTTCAGTTGCTTGGTAAGGAATATTTCTGAAAGTGTCTGGCTTAGAGTATGACAGGTTTAAATTTCTGTTAGATTTAATAGTAAAAGGAGTCTTTATTCATTTTCCTGTCCCAGATTATGGAGTATTTTTCTGTCTTCTAGCCTTATAAAAAGCAGGATTATAAATTATATCTCATTTTAGCCTGTCACATTGAAACACAGAATGTATGGCCATGATTCTTTAAGTTTCTAGACTATTCAACACAGAAGTTGATTTCTCTCTCACAAGATAGAGAGTATCTTTTAAAACAGAATTATCCTAAAGAATCTATAAAAGACAGCCAAGCTCTCTGCTTTTTTTCATGGCTTTTTCTTAACATATTATGGTTTACTTATGTTACACCCCTAAGCTCACCAAAAATGTCTAGTCTCAATCAGTTTTATTAAACAGTTTATTTTGAAGTTATTTTAAATATTACAGGCCAGTCATATTGACAGTAATATAAAATTCAACTGGACCATGCACTGATGTTTGAGAATATCTTGTTTCAATTAACAATGTGCTGCAATACCCAATTAAATCACTATTTGTTCCAGGAACATTTTTTAACATAAAATTTCAGGTTGCCAAGGAAGTTTGATTTCTTTGTACTTTACAAAACTATGTGTTTATATTAGAATTCTTACTGAAGTTTTCAATGTGTTTTCCTTTTAAGATCTCCATGGTGAAAGATCCATTCATTGATATTTCACTTCCTATAATAGAAGAAAGGGTAAGGAGAAGAAAACTAATGATGAGGCTTTTGTGAAGAACATTTATTCATTTATTTAAACATTTGTCAAGTATATTACCAGACATCTGAAAGTCATTATTTTTTCTATGTAATTGAATTTGTATTTGTAATTGAGTCTGGGGGCTTGGGGGTTTGTGTACGTATGCATAAAGTATAATAGTTTTTATTCTCAAGAAATTTAAATTCTTAAACACTTTTTATTTTGAGAATGTGTTAATGTTTTATGTTTCAAGTCAGTTAGAAATTTTAAGATGAGGACATCCAGAATTTATTTGCTAAAGAAGTTTTGTGTTATGTACCTGGCATTTTACATAGGTTTCAAAACCTTTACTTTTGGGAAGAACGAATAAATACAGAAGTTTACAGGAGACAGATCATGATCGATGCAGTGGCAGTGTTGCTATAGAAAATATTCCTCAACCTAGAGCTGCCAAAAAGCATTCTTCACCTAAAGATAAGGTAAGACCATGAGCATTTGTTAGACATCTGTTTTTTAACAGTTTATTAACAAAAATTTCAAGCACATCTAAAAGTAGAGAACATAGTGTAATAAACTCTCATGTACCTATATTTTGGCTTCGTAATTATCAACTTGGCTAATTGTTTGCTAACTATATCTATCCCACATCCTCCCCTTCCTCCCATCCCAGACTATTTTTGGATAATCCCAGATTATTTTTGAAATAAATCCCAAATATATCATACACTTCAACAGTGTGTATTTTAAAAGAGAGATATTCTTTTTTTTTTAGTTTCACTCTTGTTGCCTAGGCTGTTGTGTAATGGCATGATCTTGGCTTGCTGCAACCTCCGCCTCCTGGGTTCAAGTGATTCTCTTGCCCCAGCCTCCCAAGTAGCTGGGATTACAGGCATGTACCACCACACCCAGCTAATTTTGTATTTTTAGTAGAGATGGGGTTTCACCATGTTGATCAGGCTGGTCTCAAACTCCTGACCTCAGGTGTTCTGCCTCCCTCATCCTCCCAAAGTGCTGGGATTACAGGAGTGAGCCACCACACCCAGCACTAAAAGAGAGATACTCTTTTTAAAACTCCAAAACAGAGTACCATTATCATACCAAAAGTATTAATTCATTATAAATAATGTAAGGAGTCGGTGATTATTTAAATTTCTGCAGTTGTCTCATAAGTACTCAGTTTTTTATTTTGCTTTCTAAAGTTTTTTTGAATTTAGGATTTAAAAGAGGTCTATAGATTGCAATTAATTGTTGTGTCACTCTCTCTTTTTCTTTTTTCTTTTTTCTTTTTTTGAGACAGAGTTTTGCTTTGTTGCCCAGGTTGGAGTGCAGTGGTGCGATCTTGGCTCACTGCATCCTCTGCCCACTGCAACCTCTGCCTCCCGGGTTCAAGCGATTCTCCTGCTTCAGTCTCCCGAGTAGCTGGGATTATAGCCATGCGCCACCAGGCCTGGCTAATTTTTGTATTTTTAGTAGAGACGGGGTTTCACATGTTGGTCAGGCTGGTCTCAAACTCCTGACCTCATGATCTGCCCACCTCAGCCTCCCAATGGTTGCCATGTCTCTTAAATCTGTTGTAATTTACAGATTTCCTCTCCCTCCTTTTCCTCCTTTGCAATTTATTTGCTGAAGAAATTAGGTCCTTTTTTTCAGCAGCATGGTATTAACGAGTTCCTCTGTCACCTTTATTTCCCCCCTGAGACATTTACATCCAGAGGCCTAATTATGTTCATGTTTAATTATTTAATTTTTAGCAAGAAAACTTTTAGGTGGTAGCATGTATACTTCCATCAGGTAGATGCACATAATGTTTTATGTCTCTCTATGATATTACCAGCCATTGATAACCATTGTCTAGACCTGTTATTTCACTAGACATACCTGGTTTTTTCATGTAATAAAGTTACCTTTCTTTTAGTTTTGATGGGAAAGAGGACAAGTTTGCATATGGTTCTAAAATGAGGAAATTTTGCAAAAATGCAAAGAAATCAATCTGAACTTATACTTCAGCAAAGAAAACTTTTTTATATGAAACGATTTATATTAATTTGGCAAATTGACATACTGAATTTAACTTACTCTTTTACAAATTTTATTATTTATTATTGTTGTTATTATTTTGAGACAGTCTCACCCTGTTACCCAGCCAGGACGGAGTAGCACGATCTCAGCTCACTGCAACTTCTGCCTCCCAGGTTCAAGGGATTCTCGTGCTTCAGCCTCCCGAGTAGCTGGGACTACATGTACACATCTCCATGCCTGGTTAATTTTTGTATTTTCTGTAGAGAGATGGTTTTGCCATGTTGGCCAGCTGGTCTTAAACTCCTGGTGACCTCAAGTGATCTACTTGCCGTGGCCTCCAAAATTGCAAGGAATATAGTTGGCCTGAATTTAACTTACTATGTTAGAAGGCTTATGTTAGAAGTAACAAGACTTCAGAAAGGACAACATGTTTTCTTTAAATAAAAGCTAACATTGCTTCATAAAATATATAGGGCAGTTAAATTCAGCGTGAGTATATGCGTTATTCTAAATGGTATAAAGCAAAAGCATCTTATGGAGTTGGAAAGGGTTAAAGCATTATGTTGCTGTTCCCCTAAAAAGCACTGGTTATTAAAATATAAATGTGTAGTCATTTTTTTTTCTTTATTTTTGCTTAAAGAGTTAGGAGATTATGTGGTACTAGCCACAGTAGTTTTTTAATATATCCGCTATCCAAATGTATGAGAAAAATAATTCCCACACAGTATTGGTTAGGAACTGAGGATATGCATATAGGAAATATTGAAACAGTCTGTACCTCAAAGATCTGACACCACATGGATATAACTTGTGCTTTTGCTGAACAAACTGGATCTATTCTTTATTAAAAATTTATTTTCATATAATACAAAAAGGTATTTCATATAATACTTTTTTGGTTACTTTTTAAAATTTGACCTATTCTTTATTGAACACTTTTTTCATGTAATAGAGTTACTTTTTTTTAGTTTTGTTGGGAAAGAGGACAAGTTTGCATATGGTTCTAAAATTAGAAAAGTACAGTTCTAATACCATCTTTAAGGTACTATATTCAAGAAGCAAAAATTTAAATGACATAAATTTATTTCAGTCATCAGGAAATTTATGTTTACAAATTATTTCCAGTAGTTCAACTACAGAACCAGTTCAGTCATGGAACCAGAATAATTCAGTAGTTAACCAGTTTCACTACTAGTTTTATAAAGATAATAAAGTCTTGTTTTTCTGAGTAGTAAAGTTGTTAATAAGAGTATCAAGATATTTTTGACAAACTTTTCTTTATGGTATTCATTAGTCTCTTACCATAACAGAAGCACCTTGCATCTTTCAGAATTGTAATAGAGGTATAAGTACTGATTTGATCATAAGTTTTTGAGTTTTTCACCTTTTCTCTTTGTCAAATTATATTAGTTATCTCATTAAAACCAGAAAACAGCTTAATATGAAGAATAATAAAAAATACATAAAAATAACAGTGAAATTAGCTGAGAAAATCTTGCCCTCAAGTTGCAAGGTGTTATCTCTGAGTACCTTGGAAAAGTCATTTTATTTTGCTTACTGATAGCAGGCAAATAATCCAGTTAAATAAAGTACTGTAAAACTAATACGTGCAATTTCTGGCCTAAATACAGAAAAAATAACAGGAAGCAGATACATTAAACAGAGTAAATAGCCATAGGCATATATAAAGGTCCTTCTTAAACCAAAAGCTAAGGTAAAATCAGCTGCAACAAATGGCTACCAAAAGATATTATGTGAAGTCTATTCCATAGTTTATTTTTCTTCTCTTCTTTCCCCTCCCCACAGCTTTTTAAAAAACTATCATGCTGATTGAATAAATATAGAAACTGGAAAATCTCAAATTGCTATCCCTATTTAAAATTCTTCCTCAGTTCATTAATTCAGAAAAAAATCAAAAAGTTGAATTCTCTGAGCCACTTCAACACATAAGTATATTAGTTATATGAAAGATGTTTTTAAAAAAAATTTCATAAAATTTTAATACTTCTGCCAGAAGCATAAGCGTATTGTGCCCTGGTGCAATTTACATGAACCTTGCTTCCCACCACCTGTTAGCTGCACAGCCTTTTGCCAATTAAGCTCTTTGAGACCCAGCTCCTGCATTCAATTATAAGATCATAATCTTGCTGTTTTTTTCTATTTATCCCATCTATTCTTTATTTCTGTTGCTACTTTTACGCACTTTTGGTTTTAATTGAATAATTTTCACGTTCCATCTTATTTTCCTCTGTTTTCTTTTTAGTTATTATAAAAGATGTTATTATGGAATTGCTGAAACCTGTGTTGTACCTCTCATTGGGGTTAAATTCAGAAAAACAGTCCTCTTTTTTACATGGAAAAAATGAAAATTTCAATTTTTCTATTCTTTTACCAATCAGACCAGTCACCAAAATAATACGGGTATAGTTACAGTATCTATCAATATACTTAAAAATAGATTTGAGGAAAACCCTGTTTTCAAAGGGATCTGACCTGATTTTACCATTTTTCCTAAGGTGCTAAATTGATCAAGGTATTATACAGAAGTATTTGAGAAAATGGCGACTTAATGTATGTAAATTTTTTAAGACTTAAATTGAACCGATACTTAAAGTCCAAGTAAAACAATTGCAAGGATATTTTTGTTTATCATGTGGTATTGGCTCAATTTACTATTGGGAATTTTGGAAATACCCAAAGAAGATCATGTATTTCCCCTTTAATCGTTTTCATTTGTTATATTTTTACAGTTTAAAAGTAGACTTTTCCTCTCTACTTAGTGTCTGTAACAAAAAGAGAAGCTCCTTGCATCTTTTAAAATTAATAATAGAAGTACAAGTCCTGATTCAATAGTAAATTGAGTTTTTCACTTCTTCTCTTTGCTGAATTATACTACAGTTATCTCATTAAAACTGAACAAAGTTTAATATGAAGGATGATAAAGTGGTGAGGAAGAAAGGAGAAATGAAACCAGGATATAGTATTGTGAATACAAATGAAGAAAGTTAGCATTGGTGGAAAGGCCTGAGTATTTTTAAAAGTTTAAAAAATAGTGAAAGGAAACAGTGAGTAGAAATTTTTTATTGGAAAATTATGTGAGACAAAAAAGTACTACCTAAAATGTCTCAGGAAAAAGGTAGGGAAATATAGCCGCCTGATTGATTTTTTTTGTTTGTTTCCCTAGTCCCCATTCCTCTCCCTATTCCCCACCACCACTTGGTGCTCCACATTGCAGACGGCAATATTTCTAAAATACAAAACTGGTCCTTTTATTCCCTGTAGCCCTCAGAATCAAGTCTGATACATGCAGCTAATAGGCTTATGAAAAACTCAACACTGATCATTGGGAAATGCAAATCAAAACCACTGTGAGATACTGTGTCACACTGGTCAGAATGGCCATTATCAAAAAGTCAAAAAATAGCAAATGCTGGTGAGGTTGCAGAGAAAAGGCAATGCT